TTACTTTAATTAGTAATTACCATCTTTTCTCCAAGAAAAATTTGGCAAAAAGCACCTGTTCATAAATTTTAGAGTGAACATAATTTCTAACCCCAAATTATTCTCATTTTAGTTTTAATTCTTCAAGCTTCAAATCATAAAATTTAGTTTCTGAAACAAAATAATTCAAACTTTTATTAAATTATAGAAATTAATATTTTAAATGAAAAAACTTAAGAGACTAAAACTTATAATTTGAAATTTAAAAGACTAAAACTAAAATAAAAACAGATTTAAAGGATCAAATATTTTATTAACTCTAAATTTTATTCGTCAAAAGGACCTAGACTTAGCAAGTGCAACTATCTTTATGGTGTAATTTTTTTTAGTTGTGTGTAACTTATTTTTAATTATGTGTAATAGTTGTCAAAACAGAAGTCATCTGCGTATGGTTGAAGATGTTTTGCACATAACTAAAGAAAGGGTGTACGTGCTGAAAATAGTTGTATCTATTTAAATTTAAGTTTTTTCATTCAAAAAATTTTTCAAACCGACACTTTTTACCAATTTCCCCTCTTTTTTAATCTTCAATTGCGTGGGCCTTATTAAGAATCGTGATTGGAGCCTTTAAACTAACTCTTCAATCATAATTTTTGTTATCAGTAACTTTTTAATCAAAATTTAAGAAAAGTTTGGTTTTATTTTAAGAAAACGAGCTTATCGCGGGCGGCTGGAAACAAACAGTCAAAATGTACATGTTTTAAGATATTGACAATTGATTGACTGATGACCGACAATCATTGTTAGTTTAAATCCTCTCATATTGAGTCAAAAAAAAAAAGCTCTCATAATTCTTCCGTCACCCATGTCATTTCAAAAGTACGGGGTTTAGGCAAATGGTCCTTTTTTTTTTTTTGTTGTGTGTGAATATCATCAATTCTAAAATACTAATGAGATTGCGTCTCGGAAAACAAGCTAGGCTTTCTGTTTGCTATTCTCAAAACTACAGTTTTAAAAGTACTTTTCAGTAAAACGAGATAATCTCTTCCACATATTTACTTCGTAATCCGTAAAAGCACTTCTGAAATTAGGGTTTAGTTTCTATGCGAACACCCCTATAGTTGTTTACTTGACATATTTCAAGTAAAATTACTTCTAATAAGATGCTATTTCTGATTTTTAATATAAATCTTGTTTGACTTTATTTTGATTCTAAATATAAGATTCTAATCCACTTTATCTTTCATATTTATACATTTTTTTAAGATAGTTCTTCTAATAATGGTAACTCTAACTAGTACACTTGATTAGCAAGGATAATTTAGGAAAGACAACACATATTTATTACAAATAACTAACTTAACTTCTTTTCTTAATCTCTTCAAATTAATCAATTAGCTCTTATAATTAGAACCAGAAGTAGTATCTTGACAAAAAAAAAACTTTAAAATTTTCGTTGTGTGATTTTTCAAGAATCGAACGTTTCTGTTTTTGTTCATCATGTAAAATTAATAATGTAAATCATTATGAATTTTAGGGTTAATAATAATAATGGAGAAGGACCACAGTAGAAGAAAACACGGAAGAACTACAAATTTATGAAATTACTGAGAAAGATCAATGACAAAAAATATGAAAAAGTCATACCATATATATTAATTTTGATATTAATATATAAAAAATATAAAATAAATTTTAAAATAATTACTCGGATTGACAAAAGAAATCATTACTCACAAAATTGTAAGGATATCTTTGTTATTCTTTTCAATTTTTAATATAAAAATTATATAACTAATTTATAAATATTTTAAAAAATTAATTAATATAGTTTATTTATAATAAATATGTATCTTGTATATTTTTTATTTTTAGAATCGAATATGGTTTCAAATTTTGAAGGAATTTATGGGTTTTTTTTTTTTTTGGACTCAATTTATGGTTTACATATACATATACATATATATATATATATATATATATATGAAAAAGGAATTTATGGGCTCTCACGCCGTGCGACAACCGTAGAAAGGGATGGACGGTGACGGCGGAACCGGCTGTACAAAAGCGTATTGAGTTGACTTAGGACGGTCCTGAAACGATAAGGGAAAATTGACATAAATTTCTTATTAAAAATTTAATTGATAAATGAGGTTTAAAGATGGGAAAATTGCAAAAAAAGACCTTGGAATTACAAAAACGCAGATAGGGACCCTTGACAACTTCAATTGGGTTTTGACAATTTCAGGGCATATTATTCTTGTCAAACCCAAAGTGAAGTTGTCAAGGGTCCCTATCTGCGTTTTTACAATTCCAAGGTCTTTTTTTGCAATTTTCCCTTTAAAGATTCTGTGTAACTTAATTTTTATCATGTACAGCTTATTTTTTTTGTGTAATTTATTTTTTCTTATATGCAATAATTTTTTTTGTACAATATGTAACTCAATTTTTTTAAAATAAAAATCTATTATGTGTAAATTATTTTTTTTATGTGTAAACTAATTCTTTATATCCAAATATTTTATTCAAATCATCTTCCTTCTATGCAATTTATCTTTTTTATACAATCAATCATTTTAAATCCTATTTATTGATTAAATTTTTAATTGAAGGATTTATTCCTAATTTTTCCAAACGACGCTCTCATGCTCAATAGGAAAACAAAATATCAAGAATATTAATTTAAATAGTGACTTGTCCAATCAGGATAAGACATTTGCATTGAGAAAGATGTCATTAACACGTCTGTCAGTAGTTTTCATATTTTAAATTCATAATGGGACCAAAAAACTTAAGGCATGAGAAATTTCATTTTTCATATATTTCTTCCATTATAACTCACTTTAACTCATTTATAAAAAAGGACTATTTCTATCTTTTTTTTATAAGAAATAATTTCCTTTATGGTATATCCATCAATATAAAAAACAAATTTTTTTTTGGAAAATGGTGTTTTTTACTTTTGTCTTATTAAATATATGCTATTTATTTTCTATCTACATTAATTTTTCACTTGTTACTCTAATATACTTTTTTTTAAAACAAATAAAGATATAATTAAAAATATATGTATATACTTTATATATTTATTATTTTTATTTAAATGATATTTTGAACTGTATGATTTTAATAATTGTTTCTTATAATAAGAAACAAAAGTAGTAGTTAATCATTACATTTGTATTGGTTAACTCATTATATGATGGAAAGGAATCCACGAAAGAGGTTTGTACGGACTTCAACAAATTTGGTACTGGTTAATAGGCTGTTGTTTTTTTGCTTGTTAGTTAATGGTTTTATCTAGTGGCTTTTTGGTTGTTTCCTATTTTAGTTTTTGTTTAGCTTTTTTAGGGGCGAGTGTGGGTTAGTTTGTACTAATAGCTTGTTTTGTGTTTCTTTGACCTCTTGGTCATTAGTGTTTGTATTGATTTTTTTTTATATTAATAAAATAATTTTTAGCCGGAAAAAACTCATTACGTTTGTTTCAAATTAACTTTTTTTACTTGTGTTAAATGAGGTTGTGAAGGAGAAATTTTTTTTCAAAAAAGTAATGTACGGGGAAAAATTGACAAGGACGTAGCAGTTCTGGCCCTAATTATAAAATTAAATATGATCTTATAATTAGGACAAAAAATAGTATTAATTATTTTTTAAATAATTTATATCTTGGACGAAGTATAAAGGATTAAGATGCATTCAGCATTTTGAAGTATTTTTTAGGTGCATTCAAAACTTTGTAATTTTTTTTTGTCTTGGTGCTGGATGTACTAAAAAAACATTTTTGGGTATTAGACGCATCTAAGAAAACATTTTGAGTTGCTGGATGCATCAAAAAATATTTTACAATGCTGAACGCACATAAATTTAAAATGCTAGATATATCACAAAATATTTTAGAATGTTAAATATATATAAAAAAATACTTAGGATACTGAATGTACCATAATCCAAATATAAATTATAGAGTATTATAGATCTGAGGTAGCATATAGAATTTTCAAAATCATGTAGAAATGTCAAAACCATCGAATCAACTAATTTGGGAGTGTTTAGATGGAAACTAAACTATAATTTTAAAAATAATTTTACAGTATACGAAGTAAATTTATAAAAAAATTTATCTCGATTTACAGAAAACTATTTTTTCAAAGCACTTTTAAAGAAACCCAAACACCTCCTTAGTTGCTTAACAATCGGATAAAAATACATTTGAACAACGAGGGAAAAATGCCGCTAGCCTTTTAAGTGCGTGTGATGGATGATGGCAATGCGTCTGACGGGACTTCAGAGTTGGACGCTTCCAGACTGATCATTAGTTAAGATAAATTCAAAAAAATTTGTTAAATTAATTATTTATAATAAATAAATTATTCTTCTGATCCTAAATATAATACCCTTATACTAGTGTGTATAAAGGTCTTATATTTAAGATTGAAGGAGTAATTGCTAATCATGTATATTACACAACTACTATATAAATTGCTTAAATAAATAAATAAATATAAGAGATAAAATAAATTAATATTTTATATTTAAAATTAAATTAAAAATCAAATTAATTATTATATTAAAGAATGGAGGAAGGAGTATGTCTTTTGGGCGAAGGCACATCAGCGTTCCCAATTTTTCATGTTTTGAGCAGATTTTTTTAAATCTTATTTTTAATGTATTTAAAATCTTAAAAATTAGGTATTAAATATAACTAAGAAAATATAGGATGTTAGGCAGGAGCAGGACTCCTGGGGTCACATTTTTCTTCTGGACGAAAAGTCCGCACTCTACACACTTCACAGGTCGGCACGTGGCCCACAGGCGCTTGAGGGCGGGTCAGTTTGAAGTGAGCGAGTACACACGCACGCAATCGACAGAGGACCCTTCTCCAACGTTTGTCCCCAGTGTGCGAATAGTGCCGTAATGATTTCAATTAGAGAACTGCCTCTTGCTGTCTCCATTCAAATGCCAAAACGGATGTGAAGTTCAAATCCCAATGCGTTGCATGCTATAACATAATAATAGCTTCGCTGGCTGAAGAATAAAAATCAACTTGATGGATTCGTTGCTCCTTGGGTCTTTTCCTAAAGCTTGTGCGATTAGCTCTGGTATGTCTGCTTTTCATTGACTAAGGCTTGTTTCAAGGGGGAAACCCATCTGGATATATTGAATTGGAACGATGGCCCTCTGGAACTTCTAGGACATCCGAATTTGTTAACGAAAGAGTACTGATTTATCATTTCCTGGTTTTCGTTCGGCCTATTTCTTAAATCCCCGTTTGGGAGAGGAAGATTATTATTAATTTAAATTTTCGATTATTCTGCTTGCTCTTGTTTTTGTTTTTTTGGGCACCTACTTACTAACTCAAGGCAACTCTTGATAGGTGGAAGTGGCTGGAGGAGTAAAGGTTACACGAAGAGCTGCTATGCAAGTATGCTTATACATCGTTCGTCTTTTTTGCTGCATTATGTTCGATATGTGGGAGAGTATTTCTCATTTGTATCCGTTTGACGTGTAGTGTTAGTGGTGGTTTTTTTGGGGGGGGGGGGGGGAGGTTTAAGAGAATACACATTTGCATAAAAACCTGTATGTCTATCTCTTTCTCATTTCAATCCCTGTCCTCCCATTTCTCCATTCCCGTTAATTTGCATTCTTAAAGTTTTCTACTTGTATTTCTCATCCCTCCTACATTGTAATTAATGGTACCATTTCACGCTTAGTCAAAAGGAAATTTCTTCCTACGTTGGCGAAATAATAGATGCTTAGCCATACAAAGCATCGGGAATTAATTACCCATGTAAGAAGTTTGAGATTGTAGTAAAATAAAAGGAACAGAAGTAGGAACAATTAGAAATGTTGAAAACTCCTCATCACTAGAAACATGGTTGTTGTGTTACTGTACATTGGCAGGGGAGGGACGCCAGTTCTCCAGTGGGATCACTAAAAGTGAAATTTGTCTAAGTTATATGGAAGATGGTGGTCTGTCACTTCCAAAAATTAAACTGATATACTTGAAGTTTTGAATATTAAGCGTTGCTGTCAAAGCAATTCCTTGTCATTTTGCATAATGGATGTTAGGGAGGCCACATTTGTGATAATAAAGCTTCCCTTTTACGGTGCTCAGATTACATTTCACCCATAAGCATGGGAATAAAAACTGTCCTCGGGGGGGCCCACCCCAATCATTGCAATAACAAGAAATTGAGAAGGACCTGAACTGTGGCAGGAGAGTTTATAATTAACTTGTGGCTTGTCATTCTTTCTTTCTTTTCCTTTTTCTTGTGTGTGTGTGTGAGACTTTATATAGAACTTGGCAAGGAATTTTAGGAACTTACTCTACCAACTGCACTAATTGATTCTCTTATGGTCATATTGAGAATTACATGCATTTGTGGAATCGCAAAATTGTGACCTTACCAAAAGCTTGGACGTCACTTTAAATTGAGAAAAATTTCTATATTTAGTCCTTCGAAGGACACTACTTCTGTGTTCTAACTAATAATAGCTGGTATTCTAGGTTCTTATGTTAGAATAACTTCATGGCAAAAGGCTTGGAAGATCCAAGATGATAATCAGATCACAAGGTTCCATCATAATAATAACAAAGGCATGGGAGGAGGATATACATGTCCAGAAAGTGACAGAAAATATGTTGCGAATGCAGCCTCTGAACAATCTTTTGAATCTGAACCCGGAGCTTATGATCAAAAAAACATTTGGCACTCTGTCACTGGAGTCTTAGATGCTTTTTACCGGTTTTCCAGGCCACACACAGTTATTGGAACAGTTAAGTTGAAACTTTTTTAATATAATCTTTGAAACATATATACTTAAATACGTGATTAATCCAATTGAATTGTATGAGCCTATTCCGTAATTAATGGCAAAGTTGCTCTGCTGAATGTTTAGAGGTGATCACATTCTGTGTTTTAACAGGCATTGAGCATACTCTCTGTATCCCTCCTTGCAGTGGAGAAGGTATCAGATTTATCTCCATTATTTTTCACTGGAGTATTGCAGGCAAGGAAACTAATGAGTTTATTGATTTAAAATGATGAATTGCTATTTTACATGAGTCAATTAATACATTAGTTTTTACGTGCCAGGCTGTGGTGGCTGCCCTCTTTATGAATATTTACATTGTTGGTTTAAATCAGTTATCTGATATTGAAATAGACAAGGTATGAAAGGTTACAAATAGAAATAATTTGGATAATGGAAATTTTCGTTTGGGAAGTTCAAGTTTATTGACTTTTATATGTTTGTTGTAGATTAACAAGCCATATCTTCCATTGGCATCTGGGGAGTATTCCTTCACAACTGGTGTTGCGATTGTTGCATCTTTTTCAGTTCTGGTACCAGATATAGAATAGTTCTTTATTGTTACTTGGATGCATTTTATTTGTCCCGCTTTATCTTCCTCCTTATTCATAGAAACTAATTTTAGGGTTAATGAACAATTATCTTTGCTCCTGGTCATGTAATTACTTTTTAAAACACATTTTGTTTACATATTTTTCTGGTACCTATCCTTAATATGTTCTGGATTGAAAATTAAAACAAATTCCCTTCATGGTTAATGTAACCTATTGCTTTTTTTTTTTTAATCATGCCTAATATCTGGCATATATGTTTGGTCAGCCGTGGGATTTTCTCTCTATATCTCATAGGGTTAATGAACACTTATCTTCGTTCCATGTCAACTATATTTTTAAACTCGGACATAAGTATATATATTGCATATTTTTTTGGTATCTGAATTAAGTTTTGTTCTTGTTTGGAAAAATGGAAACAAATTTCCTACCTGATAAATATGACCTGTTGCTTAACATGTCTCATGCCCAATGTCCTGCGTATTAGAGATAATTTTTGATCTGTTCTCTTTGTTTAATCAGCTCTTGGATTTGTATGTCTTTATCCTCCTGTTTATGGCCTTGCTCTTTAGCCACTTTTTTGTTCTCTTATGTAGAAATTCTTTTTTTTGATTATTTGATATGATTTCTGTGAAATCTTGCATTTGTGAGGATTTCATTGTCATCTTATATTTAAATTCCCCATTATTAACATCAATTGTAGACCTTTGGGCCCTATATAAAGCACTAGCTAGCTAGGATTAGACAATTCAGTCTTTGATAAAACAGAAGTTCAGTATTTTATTCCATATCTTCTTCTTCTTTTTCCTTAATTGCTTGTTCTTTTTGCCTTTTCCTGAATATATTGTTCTGAATATGCTCTACTGACTGACTGTTAAGTGGCTTGTAATTCATTATTTGCAGAGTTTCTGGCTAGGGTGGGTTGTAGGCTCATGGCCTTTGTTCTGGGCTCTTTCTATCAGTTTTGTTCTAGGGACTGCTTATTCAATCAATGTGAGTTCACTCAGATTGTTTGATTTTTTTTTTTTGTTTAATTTATTTTCTGTGGTAACTGGGGGACCAATCATGTCAGAATGCTCTTAATTTCTGTGCATTTGATCAGAGTTGAATCCATTGCTTTTTCCTCCAAAGTTCATGGCTTTTGTAACTAATCATTTTTCCTTTTTTCCCCCCCTTTTGAGATAAAATCTACGAGAGTTTTGGGTGAAATGTGAGGGTTAGAATTATGTGATGGCTCTATTTTATGATAGAGGACGGGGACTCAACAGATGGCAAGTAGTTCTATTGCTTTAAGTCAACTCATTTTAAAATCTGTGGGCAAACAAATGAATTATTTGCATTTGAAAACACTCGATTTTTGTGATGCTGGATGGTGTTTTGTTTTTGGCCAAATTATCAGATGGTGTTGATTGCATTGGTTTTATAACTTCATAGCTCTTGGAAAATTTCAGTTGCCCTTGTTGAGATGGAAGAGATTTGCAGTGATAGCGGCAATGTGCATCCTGGCTGTTCGGGCAGTAATTGTTCAACTTGCATTTTTTCTCCACATACAGGTTTTGTCCTACCTAATTAATTCTGCACTTCAAAGTCAAATTGTGGATGCGAATGCCTTTGCTTTTTCAACAGGAACAAAAAACCATACTCCCCAAATCATTTAAAAGAAAATCCCAAGCTCTTGGGAGCGTGCTTAATTATACTCATAATCCCATATGAACTGGAAAGAAATAAGCAAGGGTTTCCAAAGTTCTCAGTAGTAGCATTATTATTAACATTGTCTACTAAAATATTGTAACAAAGTTATTCTGGTTTTCCCCTAACAAGTCAAGTTTTTGAATCAAAATAATTTTTAAGATTAACTAATACGTTTAAGAATGTCTAGACTCATGTGTTCAAGAGGCCAGCTCTATTTTCAAGACCACTGATTTTTGCTACCGGCTTCATGAGCTTCTTCTCTGTTGTTATAGCGTTATTCAAGGTAAAAGCTCTTTACCTCCTAACTAATTGTTCCTTCTCATTGAATTTATGATTGGAGATGTGCATCTGATGTTTAACCTTGCGCTGAGTTCTATAGGACATACCAGACATTGAAGGAGATAGAGTATTTGGCATCCGATCTTTTTCGGTACGTTTGGGTCAGAAGCGGGTATGTGCCTAAACTTCAACAGCTCATCAGACATGCTTGTTTCAGCTCGTGTATTCCATGATGTGCTCCATTTAATATTTCCCAGGTGTTCTGGATTTGTGTTTCTCTTCTTGAAATGGCTTATGGAGTTGCCCTCTTGGTGGGAGCTGCATCTCCTTGTCTCTGGAGCAAAATTATTACGGTAAAGCAGTCGTGATATTTATGTCTCGGGAATTGGAAGTAGGATTTTGATAAACACGCCTTGGAAAATCTATTTGCAAGGAATTCGATCTTATAATGTTTATCTCCTGCCTTTTAGAATTTATTATGCTTGCACTGGCTTTTTCGTTTTGAGCTTTATATTTTTATAATTTTTCTCTCTAATTTTTATGTCAGCCCCCCCATATTTTTAATTCTCTTATTTTCCCCTTGATAAAACCTTCTGTTACTAACTTTTTTTAATAAAACATCCCAGCACCTATGTGGACTAATCAAAAGTTTCACTGATGACAGAGACACCAGATTTATGTCGTCTTAGGAAACTTTTATTGTGGAAGATTTATATAGAAGTCTGGAAACATCTCCATAAGAAAGCAATTCTGTTTCATAAAATCTCAACCTCACACTTTACCGTTTTACAATATTAATTTTATCAAATGCAAAATGAGTCTTCCTAGGCTAGGAGGCATTAATTCTGGAGATCGGAGAAAGCTTAGGATGCTCAATAAATTTACAAATTGTCTTTTACGTCTTTATACCAATTAATAACTTTGAAGTGAAAGTGGACTGGATTGAACATTTCACTGAAGCCTGAAATTCACTTTCAACGGGTTAGGGTCTCGGGCATGCCATTCTAGCTTCAATCCTCTGGTATCAGGCCAAATCCTCAGATCTTAAGAGCAAAGCTGCCATAACGTCGTTCTATATGTTTATCTGGAAGGTAAAATTTGCCTTTTGTTTGAGAATCCCCTGATACATGTTTCTTTTGAATATTTGTTTGGTATTACAGGTAATCGCAATTTTCCACTTTATACTATAAAATGATTTTTTTAAGAATTAACTATTATATAATTTTCTGAATTTTAAATTTATGTATGCCAAACAAAACAAAAGGTACATTTTGCCAAAGTAGAACTCATTAACTGAAGTAGTGAATCTAGTGATATTTAATTAGATCATATTTGTAGTTGCGATCATAGCTTATTGTTTGTTATAGAGCTAGTAGGAATCAATTCAATCCTGTACTGACCACCAATTCTGATGGCTGAGCGATACCTCTTGAAATGGGTGGGGTGTAGGGACCATCAATCTAGATGGTCTGAAGTTTTTGTCTCTGAAGTTCTGTTAAGGCTTTAGCATTTCTTTTTACAATAATTTTTTTAAAAAGACAAATCACTGCACGTGAAAGACTTCACAGAACTTTGGGGGCAAGCAATTTCAGAAAATTCAGTTCTTGGGATCGCACCCCATTATTGGATGGGGTGATGTTACAACCCTCATTTGTGAATCACAAGAATCTGCTCCAATTATTAAATTTTCTGCTCAATATAGGACGCTCTACATTGAAAGAGAAAATTATTCATTAGCTGCAAAGCTATTATTCAGAATTTTGCTCTGGTCCTTAGAGAGAGAGAGTGTGTGTGTGTGTGTGTTTTTGTGTGAAGTACCCTTTCTAATGCTGTTTTTATTGTTGCAGTTATTTTATGCAGAATACATTCTCATTCCTCTGGTTAGATGAGAACCCAGCAACATTATTGATTAAAGGATTAGTTAAAGTAGGGTCTGCCATTTGTGATTGTCACTGACCAGTATTGATTGTGTTGGTTAAGATGCATAATTGTAGATGTAGAATGTGGGAAATTTGCATAGTTATGCCTTTTTGAACAAACCCTGCAATGGCAAGGAAGAGGCCAGGCATCACAATTTGAAATCAAAAGGCTAATACAACTGACCCGATGATGAGATCTAGATTTTCTTAATTCATGCTTGGCTATTATTTGTTCTTCCTCACTGAAAGGCCTAGGTGGAGAGAAAATAAAGCCGGATCACAAAAGCAAAATTTAAAAAGATGAAGCTTATGATTGAAAAATATTTTTGAGAAATGAACATGGAATGTAAATCAAGTCACATGAATCCCTCCAATAGTATAAATATCATCCCATGAATCCCTCCAATGTCCCATATTTTAATACTCTTCCGGTTCTAAATATAAGAACTTTATACACATTAGTATAAAGGTTTTATATTTAGGATCAGAGGAGTATTTCTTTATTATTGGCATTTGTTTACCTTATTAACCCAGAAGTTACAAATTGATATGAACGTAAATCAAGTCTATTGCTCTTTCAGGATTTAGCTTGTTTGTTTTATTCATAAGTAAATATTGAATAAGATTAAAAAAATAAGTAAATATTGACAAATATAATAAATAGTAATATAATATTCGCTGATAATAAAGTGTAATACACATTTTCATATATTTTAATTTATAATAAGAACCCTCCAAAGTATAGGCTATGGGAATTAATCTTTAAATGTTGCATACGTATTAAAAATTAATTTTAAAAATTAATTTTTTCTAATTAAAAATATGCGTTGGTACTCCTTTGATTCAAAAATCATCACTTTTTTTAAAAATAAAAGGGCAATATTTTTCAAACACAAGTAAAAAGATGCATAAAAATTTTTTTTGCTTCACGTGCCCAGGTGCTTTTAGCCTTGGTCATCAAGTAAATTGTGCTGACCATTATGATTGTTATTTTTTGATTTCAAAAACCCATTCCTTTTCCTCACATCATCAATACAGTATTAATTTACCTTGGCCCCAAGTAGTACTTTTTAGCCATATCACAAGAAAAAAGGAAGTGCAGCCATCAAGTTTTGGTTACTTGGTCATCAGGTAAATTAGGTTGGTCAGTGATTTCCTTTCGACTTCAAAGAGCCATTTATCACACCCTCAACGTAGTAATACACAATTCCTATAAACAAACGTAGCAATAAAAGTATAATTTATAAAGTATAAACCATGGTTTTGAGTATTTTAAGGGTAGTTATCTTGTGTGTATTTTGGATGCGACTTCAAGAATTTTTCCACATATTTTGATTTACTATTATTCTTAAATCAATATTCTTTACTAACAATATTGATATACTGACATTTAACAAAATTTTTAAAATTCTTCATCCAATAAATTATCAGCCCATTTCTTTTAGGCTAATGTATAATGTGGCTAAATCTGACTCAAAAAGAACATCACATGTATAAGAATTTTTTTCCCAAGAAATATATAAGAAGATTGATGATAAATGTAATACTGCATCTGATCCTAATTATAAGATCTCGTTTGTAAATTATAAGCGAGGTCTTATAATTAGAACCGGAGGTAGTAAAATATAATAGGGATAATTAATCCGCAAGTCCTTATAGTTTCAACGAATTTGAATTAGGTCCTTATAGTTTTTTTCTTTTTATCAGATCCTTATACTTTCACTTGTTTTTAATTAGGTTCTTATATTTATTTTTCTTTTTATCAAGTCCTTATAAGTTCATTTTATTTTTAATTAAGTCCCTGAATTTTTTATTCTTTATTTTATGAATTCTAATAGTACTATTATATAAACATAAAATAGTATATATTATTTAATATTAGTTTATAAACAATAATATTCTAACGATATTGAATTATTATAATGATTTTAATTTTTTCAGCAAAAAAATTAATTGTTCTAAAAATTTTTCCTGAATTACTTTTTATTACATAATTATTAATTTAATTTACTTATTAATATTTTATATTTCATTATTAATCTATTTAATTAAGCTTATATTTAATTAATAAATAAAAATTAAAACTACATGGACCTGATTAAAAATTTAATGAAATTATAAGGATTTAATTAAAAGAAAAATAAATACAAGGACCTAATTAAAAAAAGGTAAAAGTATAAGGATCTAATAAAAAGAAAAAAAACTATAGGGACCTGATTCAAAATTCGTTGAAACTATAAGGACTTGCGGATTAATTAACCCAATATAATATAATACTTATTGTTAAGTAAATGAAATACATATTTAAAATTATTTTAATTTATAATAAAAAATCTCCTAGCACGGGCTATAGGGATTGATTTTGATTTTAAAAATATCAAACGCGCATCAAAAGTTTAAATGCTTTCTAATTAGCGGACTTTGCAATCCAACTAACACTAAATGAATTTTAAAAGAAATTTTTAAGGGTACAAATGCAATTTTATCCTATCTTATTTTTACGGTATACTCAATATCTGCTTTTTTTAGTAGTGTAATTTTATTTATGATTTTTTGTGTAATCTTACCCTTGCTTAAATTGCATAACTAAAAAAATTGGTTTGTTGGGTGCATTCAAGGAATAAAAAATCGCATTGGACATTAAATAGTCAATTGGTTGGATCACGATCAATTTAGAATCAAATTGGTCATATTAAAATAATTTAATTTAATTAAAAATAACATAATATAATAACATTAATAATCACTAATAACAAAATATTACAAGGAAATATAACAATAGTTTGAGTATAACAATAACAAAGTACAACAATATTTAGAATTTTAATCTTTATCATTCACTAATTACTGAAATTAATAATCATTGATACCGAAAAGATAATTAAAATTATTTCAAATCTATAGTGATTAAGATATTAAGAATTGAAAGAGTAAAAATAAGACTAATAGTAGTATAATCATTCAAACCAATTTATCATCAGTTCACACTGGTTTTTATGGGTTTTCATTGGTCTTCTCTCGATTAGACCGGTTTAATATTAGTTTAACTCCTACCTCCCGATTCACCAATTTTTCGGTTGAACCAACCAGTTCGGTATAATTTTTTTTTTCCCTAGATGCGAATGAAAAATAAGATTAAAGATAAAATTGCACATTTACACATTTTTTAAAATACAAGGATGTAATTCGAAGAGTTATGTCAAAAGAATATTTTTACCAACGGGGTTAGGTTTAGTGAAAGCGGCTAGTGCCCTCGTGGTGAACCAAAATTTGAATTATTGCTGGGAGAGGTGCTCACATTAAGTGCCGGAAATATCTCCAATATGATTGTTTTCAATAAGAAGATACTTATACTTACCAAAAAAAGATATTTTTAATTTAAAGAAATTACGTTTTGATTTTTTAAAAAAAAAATACATATACACACAGAGTAGAAACATATCCGTCCAGTCAGTTAGAGTATCAGCAATAGGAATTAACCTTAATTTTAAAAACAGTAGGGGCCTCGTTTATATATGAGCCTGACAATGAACTGGTGAAGCCAGTTTCAACTTAAACCCTTATTTGTTAGTTGTAACGGGTAAGCTGATATTGCTGCGCAACGCTCCCTTGTTCCTCGTGGTCACAGAATCGTTTCGCCGCCTCGGACTCGACTATGGCAACTTCATCGGAGCAGCCGGTTCCCACCTCCGGTGAAACCATCAGCAAAAAGTGAGTGCTACTGAACTCGGTCCGCTCGTAATTTGGGTTTATCGTCTTGCTTGATGTGGTTTCGTGGTTTTCCTTACAGTGCATTGAAGCGGGAACTCAAGAACAAACAGAGGGAAGAGGAAAGAAAGCGCAAGGAGGAGGAGAAGGCCAAGAAGGTACTCATTTCTCTGAAACTCCAGGAATCTGTAATTATTTCTGTGCTTCTGGATAATTTTGATTACTGCTTCTGCGAGATGGGCCTATAGCACGAGTCTCAGTAGATGCTTTGTTGGATAGTTTCTCCGACTGTATTCTTTGACTTCTTGCATTAGATATGGATTCTCCGTTTTCTTTGTGATTTAACGCTATGTAACCCCTTTCCCTTTTAAAAAGTTTTTCCTTTACGGGGTGGGTATTGATTAAAAAGGCTTTTTTCTCTTAGACATGCCAGAATATTTTTGTGATTATGCCTCTGCATTTTAATAGTGGATGAGCTAATTAGGACATCTTAACATGAATAAAATTTATATTGTATTTTCAGGCAGCTGAAATGCAAAGTGCCCAATCTAATAAAGCTGCTTCTGCTGATGACGAGGATATGGACCCAACGGTAAAGTTCTGCTCTTGGCACTACGGTATTTCCAAATGTACTATCATATGAAACCTTCATTTGTTTTCCCGGCAGCAATACCTTGAGAATCGACTGAAGTATCTTGCAGCTGAGAAGGCTGAAGGAAAAAATCCTTATCCACACAAATTTGCTGTCTCTATGTGTATTAGCGAGTACATTGATAAATATGGGGGGATGGGCAATGGGGAGCATCTTGAGGACATCTCTGTATCTTTGGCTGGTAATGACATTTTTATTTTCATTGTCATTTTCTTATGGATCTTTTATGCTTTATTTATTGATGTATTGATTCAACATGTTCTGCATTTTCAGGACGAATCATGCAGAAACGATCTTCTGGTGCAAAGCTAGTCTTTTATGATCTGCATGGTGGTGGTTCAAAGGTCCAGGTTATGGCTGATGCAAGGCATGTCACGTTTTCCCCTGTACTTAAGATCAAATATTTTGAGAAGTTAAAAGGGCGTAAGATAGTGAAATCTTGATAGGCATCCTTGATCTCTGAACGCATATGTTGCTGACTTATCTTGGGATGAAGGGAGAATAATATAGTCAACAGAGCATGCCTGGCACCAGTAACAAATTGAAGCGTCCTTCATTTGCCTTGCCCATCACTGAAAGAAAAACTATTTAATATTGATGTGTAATTTTCAGTTGCTTGATATGTTGTTGGACCATGCCATACGAGCTGGATTCTCTACTCACATGTTAAATGATATATTGGGGGGAAAATATAAGATCATATGTCATGGAAGTTCGGTCGTATGTTTCTCAATCATTAGGACGTAAATTGCATGAAGCCTCTTGTTAGTTTGAGTAGTAGTGTTTCAACTAGGACCAACTAGGACTATCATACTTTAATTTCATGCTATATTTTTCACTTCAATGTGATTGTTC